GGAGCGCGCCCAAACCGCGCGCCGCCCGCCCCTGAAGCCCCTCCTCGCCCGGCCCGGGAGCCCGGGGAGTCCGGGGGGCCGGCGCCTCCAGGCTTAAGCGAAAAGCAAGCCAACGTGCTCTTAGCCCAATGATGAAATAAAATAACGAATATTAAAACAAAGAGAAAATACCCGAAACAGTACAACTGTTTGCTAAAAGGTCGGTAAGTTAATTTGGGGCGGCCGCTTAGACCACCTGCCTACCCCTTGAGTTTTTCTACCTGAACCCTCTACACCTTTTGTCATCGAGTTGGACGATTCACGTCCGGTCTTAACTGACCGGCTCCCAGTCGGAAATAATAGACGTGATTTACAACTCTCTGGGGGTATACGGTAGGTTATATTAACGGGCATCTTTGGTGTGTCGCCTTCTCCTAGGGGATTCTGTGATGGGAGAGACTGAAATCGGTTTTTGATTTCTCTAACCCCGTCTCTCAACATATAATAACTACATGTTGGTTCACATTCGGGAAGTTTGTTCATTTTATGTCCGGTTTGTGCGGTCTTTTGGTGTGATTTGTTGTCTTCAAAAACAAAAGGGTGAACGTTTTCGAAGACATTTAAATAAGTGGGTTCGGAATTAGCATTTTAAAACCAACTGTAATTTAAACTGTGCTAGAAGCGCTCATTTACAAAAAACGGTCTCAACGAATTATGGTGTATGACTTGCCCTCTACTTTTGTGTTTTGAAATGCGTCTCCTGCCAGGAAAGAAAAACAAAACCAGTAAAATACTGCGGCGACTCCACATGCCAAGCAATCATTACTTATTGGTTCCGAACAACAGTAATAAGAAATTTGTTTCTTTTACCATTAAAATTATTCCTAAGTGTGTTCTTAATAAGTGACAAGTCTGAGATTCTCATTTAAGAGAGGGGGGAAGGGGGAAAGTTTTTTTTTTCTGCCAAGTGCATACTGACAGTTCAGAATACTTAATAATTCGGACCACCCCCCCACACGCATTTATTTTCATGATAAAGTTAGTTATGTACTTTGGGGGAAATTATCGTCTTCTGTTATTTCACTTCTTAAAAGCTGAAATGCAGAGCTATTTAGCAAATTTTGGTACCTAAAATGCAAATCACACTTCAAATGTAACTATTTTGCATCTTTTCTGGAACCACAAAGGAATTGTTGTCAACTATAAAGCACACTATTTCTTTCTATCTCTTGCAAATACTATAGAATGGAATAGTGTTTGCCGTAATTGTATTTTGATTTAAAGATCTAAATGTTTTCTTTATTTAGATAAGCACAGTGCTTTGTTTTTTCCTCCCCAAGTGGCCCGAAATGAAGTTGTTTTGTTTTGTTATTTCTCTTGGGATGTTAATAAGGATGGCAACTATAATCCAAGAAATCATAAAACAATTTTTAATAAGTTATAATGCCCAAAATTAATATTTTTTCTTAAATTTGAAGGTCTGTACTAAAAAGAGAAAGTCCAGAAGAAAAACTTGGAACCTAGAGGGCAATAAATTAGGAATAATTTGAAATCAGCTCCCCTTTAGTAATTGATGTGCTTAAGAATATACTATCTTCCCTTGCTTTTTAGCAAGTTGTTTACTCATACGTACTTTGCCGTTTTACAAAGTTGTTTTATTTTTCAGTCAGATTCTTAACCCAGTAACTCCAAATTATTCTGAGCAAGTGGCCATGATAGCAGATTATTGTTTCTTGCTTTGATTAAAGGTTCTGGCTAGTAGAGATATTTTTGTTCCTTAACTACTGTATACATTATCATTTGCGGACTTAATTTTATTTAAAAATGACAGAGCCATCTAGCGGTTCTTTGCCTCTGTTACAGCATATATCCGGGTAGGGCTCTGTGAGGTGGATACCCCCTCTAGGGGTTTGAAAGATACCTTTCTATCTATTTTCAACCATATCGTAATTAGATAAGCTTAAAACTATTATTGGTCATGGCCTGGGTTTTTCAAATGTCAAAATTAAAATAATGTTCTTTTAATCCCTGTTTTTTTTTTTGGTGAGGAAGATTGGCCCTGAGCTAACATCTATTGCCAGTCTTCCTCTTTTTGCTTGAGAAAGGTTGTCCCTGAGCTAACATCTGTGCCAGTCTTCCTCTACTCTGTATGTGGGACGCTGCCACAGCATGGCTTGATGAGCAGTGTGTAGATCCGCGCCCGGGATCCGAACCCGTGAACCCAGGCTGCCAAAGCAGAGCCCGAGAACTCGACCACTATGTCACCAGGCTGACCCCTTAATCCCTATTTTTAAAAAAGGTAAACAAACTTAAAAAGCATTTGATGCACTTAAAAAAAAAATAAACAGGATAAATACTGTGCCTAAAATGCAAAACTTTTTGTCAATTGCCTTTTCACAAAAAGACATAATCAAGGCAATTGATTACTGTATGTAATCAATTGCCAGTGTAAAAGAAGTGTGGACTGTCACATGTTTTCATCACTGGAAAATAAAACATTTGGGGAAATTATTCAACCCAAGGAAAATATCGTGTTTGTTTTCCACTGACATTTGGTAACATTCTTGTTGCTTCTTTGAAATGGCTGAGCAACAACAGTGATTTATAACGGAATGTAGTCATTTTTAACAAATATTGTAAAAGGATGTAAAATTTATTACACTCATTAATTTATAGCATCATAGAAACATTAGCACATTAATGTTTGCTAGAGTTTTACATATTTATAGAAGAAAAGGAAGGTGTGTAATATAAATTGGAGATAGCCTCAGTGCTCCTAACTTGTAATGGCCGCCAACTTAGAACAACATCGAGGGGCCGGCCCGGTGGCGAGGTGGTTAAGTTCCTGAGCTCTGCTTCCAGTCGGCTCTGCCCAGCCAATTGGGATCCTGGGTGCGGACCTATGCACCGCTCAACAAGCCGTGCTGAGGCGGCCTTCCACATAGAGCAGCTAGAAGGATGGACAGCTATGACATACAACCATCTACTGGGACTTTGGGGGGCAAAAAGGAAAAAAGGAAGAAGATTGCCAACAGATGTTAGCTCAGGGCCAATCTTCCTCAAAGAAAAAAAAAAGAACAACATCGAGCTGTGCACAGAGTCAGTCATTTCTGTCTCAGCATCGTGGTTTACTTTGTGTCATCTATGAAAAAAGCCACAGGTGGAAATCGTGAAATCTACCCATGTCTCCTACCTGGCTTTCTACCTTGCACTGAAATTATTATACCTATCTTACCTCTTCTAGTAGATCAGAGGCTCTTTGAAGGTGAATCCTTATATGTAATCTGGTTTTTTAAATATCTTGCCCACCATAGGATAAGCAAATATCAATTTTTGAAAAATTATAGATTTTGAAAATCTGTTGAATTAATGAATGACTACTTACAAACACCGTGTTGGAATATAAATAAGCCCATTCGAGGATGTGTAAACATACACACACACACACACAAACAAACGCCCAAAATGGGACCTGGGAAAAATTTCTATAGCAAAGAAGAATGGAAGTATTACTCAGAGGCGGAGAAAAAGCCCAACTCTGAAAACAATTTACTGTAGTAATGGAAAGAACATTTTAGAAAATATCTGCTTTTTTGTTGTCATTAAGAGGTAAGAAAGTTTGGTGTTTGTGAAACAAGAAGTCAGAGTAAAATACAAAGTAGAACTCTGGTGCACCTGGAGATGAAGAAACTCGAGGAGGTGAGAAAATAGTGCAAGAGAACTTGGATTGTAATCGGAGGATACAGTTTTTGGAATAACGAAGTGAGAGTAACCCGACCACATAGGCCAAAATATGTAAGATTAATTAGTGCCTTTATTGTTTTGGCGAGGAAAGGATGGATTATTTAGGAAATTTAGGAAAAGATGTTGAAACAACCGGAGCTGGACCCACTACCTCGTTCCTTACTTGCTGTCATTTTTTTCCAGCTTCTGACCCCTTAATTGGTTCTCATTTTAGAGCTGGTATGTCCTTAGTGAGAGGCAAACTGAAGAGCCTCTGTCCTCTCCCGGTTCATGCCTCAAAGGCTGTGACTTGCAGACTGAAACAGAACTCAGAGGGACCATTCATTTGCTCCTTTAACAAATATTTATGGCTCTACTTTCTAAGTGTTGGTGGGAAACTGAGGCAGCTCTTTTCTCCCGAGAAAGCAAGCTTTCCACCAACTTGGATTTGTCTTCTGTTCCAAGAATACCTTTCCCTTGTCGGCCCATTATGTTGACGTTGGCCAAATTGCCCTGGCCAGTCACCCACTCAGGCACCTGGGAGTCAGGGAAGACTGGAGTGAGCTACAAACACAGAGTGGGGCAAAAACCAAGCTCACAGAGGCCCAGAAGCAGGGGCATGGCCCAGGGACCACCCAGCCACACACCAGCTGACCCTCAAGG